TTTCACCTTTACCCTTCAAATCTCTCAATCCAATGAATCACAGCAACCCAAATAAATAGATTTGAGTCGGACCCTGTGAAAATCACAAACCCAATTCCCAAAAATCAAGCACAGTCCAAAAGCCTTTTGCTTTACCATGATGAATTCCGTAGACATTCACCCACTCATCGGGTACTCGATCGGCGACGAGCTCCTCCAAAGCCGGCGGCTCATGCGCCACGGCCAGCCACCGTTGCGGGGCGCGATGCGGCTCTTTCGGCGCGCCAGCGGGCGCCGAATGAGACTGCGGGACCCATCGGTTAGGGTCCGGGAGAACGCGGCGGAGGAGCTGGAAGAGCGGCAGAGCTTCTGGTTTCACTCGAAGCCCGCCATAATTCTGGACCTGCTGTGGAATTTGGTTTTTGTGATTGTTGGGTTCACTGTGCTGGGGCTGAGTGTGGAGGAGAAGCCATTGGTGCCTATGAGGATTTGGGTTGTTGGGTACATTTTGCTGTGTGTTGTTCATGTTGGGTGCGTGGTTGCGGAGTATCGGAGGAGGCGCGAGGCGGGTTGGGGGAGTGGTGGGAGTGAGAGTTTGGTGTCAGGGAGTAATGTTGGAGGTTATGGGGGTGAGCATGGTTTGGCTGATGATACAAGGTAAAGCAATCTTGGAGATAATATTAATAGTTATTCTTGCTTTTAGGAATTAGGACTAAAAGTACACTGATCAATATTTTTATGATGTAAAATATGAATCTTGATTCAAATGTTGCATCCATATTCAATTTGTTTTGAAGTATGCATTAATGCAGGTGTTGTGATACTGTTCTATGGAATGATGTCTAGGAACTTTTGTGTTTGTCGGTTTAGTTCAACGGACATGGAAAATATGGTTTCTAAGTTTCACCATACGAGGATGGGCGTTTTTTGAATTGTGGAGTCGTGATGCTGTTCGTATATAGTTCCACATTTGGCAAGCTTTTTGCTTTTCTTTCTTATTACAATTCTTTTCTTTATTTAGATATGTACAATTGAGCAGGGTTTGCAATCTGTGATGTCCTTCATCTCATATCTGAATTCAGTCCTTTTTCATTTGTTTTTGTTGTGAATTTGAAGCGGTAAATTGAATGTGAGTAATGGTTGGCATTTGTTGTGAATGTGATATTCTCCGCATAAAGCTAATCTTGTGTGGCCGTATGCCATGAAGTATATTTAACCATCTCCATTTTTTGTGCAACAGTATCACCAAAAATCTGGAGTCGGCCAATAGCATGTTTTCATTTATTTGGTGGGTCATTGGCTTCTACTGGGTGCTTAATGGTGGCCAGACTTTGCTATCTGGCTCACCTCGCCTTTACTGGTTAGGATTGTACAGTTTTTACTCTGAAGTGGTTTCTTTTCAGTGATTGTCTTGAATGCATGTGTGTGCGCGCATGTGTTTTAACTGTTTACACACCGCTCTTTTTTTGCAGGCTCTGTGTTTCATTTCTAGTTTTTGATGTTGCCTTCATTGTTGTATGTGTTGCTGCTTCCTGTCTCGTTGGAATTGCAGTCTGCTGCTTTCTGCCATGCATAATAGCAATCTTATATGCGGTGACAGATCAGGTATACCTCCATAAGGATTGTACACAAGCTTTAGTTTATTGTCTAGAAAGTGGTAGCTTCATATAATATTTCCTCTGATCATGTGACATGGGATATATTAAAAAAATTAGCTCTCATCTAAGCTTAGGATCTAACGGAAGACGTGGCACAGAACGGAGCGCAATGGCATTCTAGGATTCATATAGTGGACCCCACTTAGTGGGAAATGGCTTTGTTGTTGCTGTTGTTGTAGCTCCTCATCTAAGCTTAAAATACACAGTGAACGTGATCATATATCTCTACATATAGAAGAAAAAAAAGATATAGCATATTCAGTAATGATAAGCAAATTATAGATCTCTTTGATGCCCGTGGCATGCGCATTATGCACAAATATGGAAATATGTGAATGGAAACAGATGATACTTGACTATGCGGCGATTGGCTAATAGGCTAATAGCTTTACCGGTCATTGTTGTGTTTTGTATGTTTGTCATTTCTTCTATTATTAGACAGAGTGAGGGAGCATCTCCAGTGCTAAATGGAGATGTATAGGCACATTTAGATCTCATGTTCCAGTGCAAGTTGTATTTGGGTTGTAAAACCAACAACTAGCCGACAAACGAATATATAGCTGCAAATTTGTATCTGTTTTGCATCGTGCTCTGGCGGGCCCAAAACAAGTGTGAGAACGAGTGAAACATGTGAAGAGAGTGGAAAGATGAAGTGCAGTAATTACTTTCTTGCTTAAACCCTAAACCGTTGAGATTAAATTCCCAAATTTGTATTTCATAAGTGCATCCAACTAACTGGAGTGAGATTCTCTATCGTCTTCCGGAGATTTAAGATGTAATTACATCCCAAATTACATCTCCCCCTTGGAGATGCTCTGATACATGTGAAGGCTGCTGACTCATTTAATCCCATTTGATATTTATAATGAATGCTCAACTGTTAGTGAATTCAGTTCTCCTTGATTTTCATCGTGAACTCCCTTTATAATGTTGGAAGCATTAGATCTCATGCTTCCTATTTTATGCCGAAGTTTGAGTTTCATACGGGCCATCCAAATGCCATGTGATGTTCTGGATTGAAGAATCAATCCTTTCCTTTTTCTGTAGAACCTATTCATTTTGCATGAGGTAGTAAGCTCTATATTAAATGAAGCAAAAAAACAATGAAAGAAGTTTTGGATTCTTGATTACACTTCAATCATATACGCTTATATGACTCAACTTCATACAACTTGTGCATTAAACAGGACGGGGCAACAGATGAGGAGATTGATAGATTGCCAAGGTTCAAATTCAGAAGGGTAGGTAACTCAGAGAAAGTCAATGGTGAGGTCCAAGCTTCTGAAGGATTCATGACCGAATGTGACACCAATGCACCAACCGATCATCCTATTTCCCAGGCTGATGCTGTAAGTTCTCGTGCCATTATACTTATAGTTGTATTCCGCTATGTCTAATATGCACGCAAGTGATCATTTGATGTTTGATTTAGCAAATCATTGCTGTGAAAAAGTATATGACTAGACGGCCATGGCCGCATTGACGTGAATGTTTTTGGTAAATTGCAGGAATGCTGCGTCTGCCTTTCTGTCTATGAGAATGGAGCAGAACTACGCCAACTTCCTTGCCAGCATCATTTTCACTGCACTTGCATAGACAAATGGTTACATATCAATGCTACCTGCCCTATGTGCAAGTTCAACATTTTAAGGCCTCGTGGCCGACATGAAATCGGACAGGTGTGAACGGGAACGGAATCAAATATCTCGATATTAGGGAAACCAAAATCGATATATTATGTAAAGTTAGTGTAAACTAACTTGTAATGCCAAATAAGAAAATATAATAGATGGTTACTGTGCTTAATTAATGTGTAGGGGATTATTTTTCATGAAGGATTCGGCATTCAAAAAGAAGATTTAGGGTAAACTAGACATTTGCATTTTTAAAACCAAATTGAACTGGTCCCTAAGTTTTAGTGAAATTAGGGTGCGTTTGTTGCACTATATTATTTTGGACTAGATTAGTTTGAGGGGTTAAGTTGGATTGACTTAGAATAAACTAAATTTAATTAACTTAGTAGAGTGTTTGTTATAGTATCAGACTAAGAAGTAAGATAATAAAAATAATAAAAATTAATTCTTTTTTTGCCTTTCTTTTTTCTACTTCTTTTTCTAGTCCTAGAACACTCCTTGAAACCTCTCTCTTTCCTCTCCCTTTTTTGAGTCCAAATTCCATAGCTTCCAACCACAGCTTTCTCCTTCATTTCAATTGATAAAGCTCTCCGTCTAAATTCCTCAACTTCCAACCACAAGCTTTCTCCTCCATTTGAATCGATAAAGCTCCGAAAACACAAACAATTAAAAATTCAATTTCAATCAAAATCGAACCTGTAGCTAGATTCCTTGTATACCCTACGACGACACTCTAATTCTAGTCCCGATTTGAGTCTGGTTTGCGAACCAAGACCGACCAGTCAAGAATCTCTCCTCGAGTCTAGGTCGCACAGATCGGTGTCGGCATTGAGCAGGATGAGGAGAGAGGGACAGGACATGATTCTGGGTTTAGGGTGAGGGGTGAGGGAGAGGACAACGGCCAACCGTGAGAAAACGAGAGCAGCAGAGAGGACGCAAGAACAAAGAGAGGCATCTTAGCTAGTCCCATGGTTTGAGTTTTTTGGGGGGTGGGGGGGGGGGGGGGGGACGTGCTAAGACCAGCTAGTAACATTTGGGTTTGGGGGGGGACACACTAAGACCGGCTAGCAACATTGTTAGTCGAGGCAAGTCCTCCTTAGTACCACTAAAGTTACTCCCTCAAGCGAACAAATATGGATTGCACTAATCTTTTATCCAATCTAGTCCAGTGAGAGCTAAAGAAGGCAAACAAACACCCCCTTAAAGCTTTGGTTCATTAATTAAAAATTTGTGAGTATTGATTTTTGAATTTGTCACAAGGCAATGCAACGCAATGGTTCATTTGGTTAATTCTGTTAAAAATTTCAACCTTATTCCCGTTTAAACTCTATATTTTGAACGTAATTTTAATAGAATTACCCGAAAGAACATTTACTCATGAATTTTTAATTCAGAGATCAACAATTTTATTGGGTCCACAAATTTTTACAAGGTAACTAGTAAATAATGGTAGAATATACTAGAAAGTGGTAGATTGTTTTAGTAGGTTAGGTTTTTCAGTAACATGCTTCTCCCAACCACTAATTAATCAAGTCAAAGGTGGTCGGGTGGTGTGCGTTACTCGACTGCTGCCGCCGTCATCTGTTTCAAATATCACATTAACGTTTCCCTATCTTCTTCTGCGTAAATTGGTTTAGTATTACACAATAAGAGAGAAAGAACCGGTATATGAGATCATTCTAATTCCTCGTTTTCGTTTACCAGATCAATTGCATCCAAGAATGGATAATATAGAATTACAATCTCTATAATATATTGAGAAAATTTCTTTTAATCATGTATTGTAACAATGAATTGAATGGTTGCATCAAATTTCCTACAAGAACACAAAACATGTTGAGTTCGTATTCTCCTTGACCAAAAGCCTAAACCCTCTAATATTTATGCACAAAATATTGTGACTTGGGTCTTCAATAATCTTTCTGATACACACCATACCAAACCGGAACTCCGGTCACAACGCCGCTGCCAAAACTTTTGTTCCCAGTCGCCGGAAACCCCATCGTCGAGTGAGACCACGTCGTTGAACTTGCACAAGCGTACATCTTCTGAGCCTCCATACTCACAGAAATATTAATAATCCCATTCCTCTCCCCCTTGTGATCTCTCAGCCTGTAACTCAAAAAATGCAGGTAACCCTCCGGCACGTACCCGCCAACAAAATCCGACGCCGGAATCGTGGCCGTCCCGATCGTCCTGACGCTGGACGAAGTCTTGCATTGGACCTCCACCGTGATGGACTTCGAGTGCGTTGGCAAGTCGAGCACGAGCGTCTCATTCCACCGTGGGTAGGCGCCGCCTTCAGTGTCCATGTCCGTGGTGCGAAACTGGCTGTTGGTGTCGGTCCGGACGGTCACGGAGGCGTTTTTCTTGATGGGTTTTCGATCTAATTGCAGGTTCTCGGCGGAGATCACCTTGATTTCGAGCGTCCGGGAATTGGCTGCCATGTTGGATGAAGAGTGCGCGTGTTTGATGAACTGCTTGGGTTAGGGAGGAAAGAGGTGCGGGTAGGAGGTTATATAGGAGTGTTGAGGGAAGGGTGTGAGAAAGGAGAGAGAAACACCCACCTGGTTTCCGTGGAATCCAAATTGGACGATGAAATACACTACGCGCCGAATTTGGAATGGATGGGAAAGTGCGTGGGAGAAATGTAATTTACTTTCCTAGTCACGGGTTTCCAAGTTGACTCTTGGGCCTTTAATTGGGTTTCACTTTTCTTTGAGAAACTTCCGTGTAATAGGATTCATAGCGGAGAGAAACTTTCAAGCAATTAGTTCTTACAATTTAAGGAAATAGACAAACATGAGCAATTTTCTAATCTTTGGACTAAGATAAGACAAATCGGTCACGCATAAGTCATGCAACCATGCATAATTAGTGCACATCATGCACAAGTCGTGCACATCACGAAGGGATAAGAGGAGTGAGGGAGGGAGGGCATAATGCCCATCCGTAGTATGATTACTAAATTGAAGGAATAAGAGGAGCTCATGAGTGAAGGGATTTTCCAGAAAACAGCAGAGGCAGTGGATTATGAATGGATCCCATTTCAGGAGAGAGAGGTGACTAGGGTTCGTGCAAAGGCGTGGGTTTTGGAAAGAGAGATTTCCAGAGAAATGTGCAAACGGTGACTGGGTTAGAGGAAATAATCTATTTATATACAAGGGTAACTAGGTTATTTTAAGGTGTAGGAAAAATCTTATTTCTGTCATATTGTTGTGCATACCGTGTGCATGCTTTGTGTATTTCCGTAAAATCTAATTTTGATCCTAGGATTAAGAAAATGGGTCATTTCTATCAATTTTCCTATAATTTATTGCGGATAGGGGTGGGCACGGTGCGGTTCGGTGCGGTTCCACCCCTAAACTGGAACCGGAACCGAAATATATTAACGGTTTGATTCGGTGCGGTTCCACTTAAATTTATTACTAGAACATTACGGTTCGGTCTACACCGGTTCCGATTCGGTTCTTACCGATTTACGGTTCCTAATAATAAATTATTTGAACACCAAATCATTATGCATTCAAATACATCTTCTAAAATTGATTACATAAAGTTGCATACAACACATCTTTTTTAATGCAAATGTCTTTGGTAGTGGCACCAAGTCAACAAAAAGAGACAACTAAAATACATATGCACTGGTCAATCAGTCAACAAACAAAAAAATGATGAAGCAAATTGCAGGTTTTCAAACTTCAGAGAGCAAGCAAGAAGCAGCAGCTCCTGTACACAAATTTTCAACCTATTTTTCAACCTATTATACCATGACATGTGTGTGTGTATATAATTTATTTATTTATTATTAATAAAACGGTTCGGTTCGGTTCGGCCAGTTCTTGGTCATTCGAAACCGGAACTGGAACCGGTTTGAACGGTTCGGTTCGGTTTTTCACTCAAAGTTGACTTTTCCGGTCAACACGATTTTTTTCGGTTTTTTTTCTTACGGTTCGATGCGGTTTTGCGGTTTGGCGGTTTTTATGGCCACCCCTAATTGCGGAGTTAAAACTTTTTGAAAATATGGATTATCTCTACTCCTTATTTTTCAATAATCGCATGGAGAAATTTTTTGGTACAGTTGCTACACATGAAAGTGTTGTCGCAATGCATGTAATTCTCATTCTTTCTTATCCTCGTGTGGATAAGTTCTTCTACATAAATATAACATACAGATAGTACGAATACAGTGACATTGTAACCTCCATATGATAGATACACACATTCACACATCTCTCCTCACTACTTGACTTATCACGTGTGTGGAACTATGATTTTTCGAGGCTGGAGTAAGTTTGATCTGAATACAATTACTTTAGAAGTCTAGTCATGGACTCACCAGCTCCGAGCAGAGTTATATCAAAAAGAGTAGTTGTGCCATCATCACTCTGCTCTAGGACACTAGGCAGAGTCCTAGCTACTCCGCTAGATGACCATGCTTAGTCTGCAAGACATGCGATTTGATTCGGATATGGACACAATCAGGTACTATGAGTCTTGGAGTTTTTACAATCCAGGAATTGGCGCTCCTTAGCTATAACATTCCAGAGTCATGCAGAACAGACACTAATCATCCTCGTGCACCACAAATAATCACAACTCGTAAGAGGGTGTAATATCTACATCTAGATATCCTCTAGGATTCTTCTAACCTAAAGCGAGGATTCTATCCTAAAAATGTTTTTCTCCCTACGGTATAAATACACCCATCTAGGGTTCATCTATGGTAATGCAATCTAAACACTTGAATTCTCTTGCCCACTACTTGAGTGTAAAGTCATTCACTAACTTGAATTCTCTTTCCCACTGCTTCAGTCTGCTACTTTCTGCCATGCATAATAGCAATCTTATATGCCGTGACAGATCAGGTATACCTCCATAAGGATTGTATGCAAGCTTTAGTTTATTGTCTAGATAGTGGTAGCTTCATATAATCTTTCCTCTGATCATGTGACATGAGATAAATTAAAAAAATTAGCTCTCATCTAAGCTTAAAATACATGGTTTACGTGATTATATGATATACCTCTACATGTAGAAAAAAAAAAACAAAATGACGTAGCATATTCAGTAATAATAGGCAAGTTAATAGATCTCCTCGATGCACGTGTCATGCGCATTGTGCACAAATATGGAAATATGTGAATGGAAACCGATGACACATGACTATGGGGCGATTGGCTAATAGGCTAATAGCTTTACCAGTCGTTGTGTTCTGTATGTTTGTGGTTTCTTGTATTATTTGACAAAGTGAGGGAGCATCTCCAGTACTAAATGGAGATGTATGGGCACATTTAGATCTCATGTTCCAGTGGAAGTTGTATTTGGGCTGTAAAACCAACAACTAGCCGACAAACGAATACATAGCTGCAAATTTGTATCTGCTTTGCATCGTGCTCTGGCGGGCCCAAAACAAGTGCGAGAATGAGTGAAACACGTGAAGAGAGTGGAAAGATGAAGTGCAGTAATTACTTTCTTGCTTAAACCCTAAACCGTTGAGATTAAATTCCCAAATTTGTATTTCATAAGTGCATCCAACTAACTGGAGTGAGATTCTCTATCGTCTGCCGGAGATTTAAGATGTAATTACATCCCAAATTACATCTCCCCCTTGGAGATGTTCTGATACATGTGAAGGCTGCTGACTCCTTTAATCCCATTTGATATTTATAATGAATGCTCGACTGTTAGTGAATTCGGTCCTCCTTGATTTTCATCGTGAACCAGATGTGAACTCCCTTTTTAATGTTGAAGCATTAGATCTTATGCTTCCTATTTTTTGCCGAAGTTTGAGTTTTATACGGGTCATCCAAATGCCATGTGACGTTCTGGATTGAAGAATCAATCATTTCCTTTTTCTGTAGAACCTATTGATTTTGCATGAGGTAGTAAGCTCTATATTAATGAAGGGCGAAAAAAATGAAAGAAGTTTTGGATTCTTGATTACACTTCAATCATATACGCTTATATGACTTGACTTCATACGATTTGTGCATGAAACAGGACGGAGCAACAGATGAAGAGATTCATAGATTGCCAAAGTTCAAATTCAGAAGGGTACGTAACTCGGAGAAAGTTAATGGTCAGGTCCAAGCTTTTGAAGGATTCATGACCGAATGTGACACCAACGCACCAACCGAGCATCCTATTTCCCAGGCTGATGCTGTAAGTTCTCGTGCCTTTATACTTACAGTTGTATTTCGTTATGTCTAATATGCACGCAAGTGATCATTCGATGTTCGATTTAGCAAATCATCGCTGTGAAAAAGTATATGACTAGACTGCCGCGGCCGCGTTGACATGAATGTTTATGGTAAATTGCAGGAATGCTGCATCTGCCTTTCTGTGTACGAGAATGGAGCAGAACTACGCCAACTTCCTTGCCAGCATCATTTTCACTGCACTTGCATAGACAAATGGTTACATATCAATGCTACCTGCCCTATGTGCAAGTTCAACATTTTAAAGCCCCGTGACCGACATGTAATCGGATTAGTGTGAACGGTAACGGGATCAAATATATGTCGATATTATGGAAACCAAAATAGATATATTATGTAAAGTTAGTGTAAACTAACTTCTTGTAATGCTAAATAAGAAAATGTAATAGATGGTTACCAGGCTTAATTAATGAGTTGGGGATTAACTTTTCGAAAATTGTAGCTATGGTCTCTCAACTTTAACCCAATTGGAGCAATGGTCCCTCAACTAAAATTCATGATCATTGGTTCCTTAACTTATCAAAACAAGCAATTATGGTCAGTTTCGTTAACTTCGTCAAAATGACTTATGTTGGAATGACCATTGCTAAAATTAGGTTATAGTTGGGGGACCATTGCTCTAATTGGGTTAAAGTTGAATAACCATTTCTCCAATTGGGTTCAAGTTGAGAGATCATTGTTACAATTTTTTTCATTTGATTTTTCATATTTGTCTTGGATTTAGCCTCATGTGGGTGGCAAGTGACTTATTTTGACAGAAGTTTTGACGGAGTTTATAAAAATGACTGTAGATGCACGTTTTGATAAGTTAAGGGACTAATAATAGTCATGAATTTTTAGTTGACGGACTATTGTTGCAATTAAGTTAAAGTTAAGAGACTATTATTATAATTTCCCCTATTTTTCATGAAGGATTAGGCATTAATAAATAATAGACATTTTCATTTTTAAAAGCAGATTGGATTAGTCCCAAAGTTATAGTGGAATAAGAGCTTTGGTCCATTAATTAAAATTTTATGAGTATTGTTCTTTGAACTTGTCACAATACAATGCAATGCAATTGTTCGTTTGGGTAATTCTATTAAAATTTTCATTCTTATTTTCCATTTAAAGTCTATAAACCAGAAAAAAAAAAAAAAGTCAAGTTCAGTGGGCTGAATCAAAGTCTTCCTCCTCACGCTTTCTATATTTTGGATGTAAGTTTTAATGGTATTACTGAAAAGAACAATTACTCATGAATTTTTAATACAGAGATCAACACTTTTATTGGGTCCTCAAAATTTTGACAAGGTAACTTTAAATAAACGACAAGTGAGAGAATGTCACTTGAAAGTGGTAGATTGTCTTAGGTTGTTCAGTAACGTGTTTCTCCCAACCACTGGTTAATCAAGTCAAAGGTGGTGTGCGTTATTCGACCGTTGCCGCTATCAGCTGTTTCAAATATCATAGTGAATTTGAACCACCGTTTCCCTTCTGCGTAAATTGGTTTAGTATATATAATATAAATGTAGTACTGCTGCCTGCTGCGGGCATATTGTATATAAGTTGTTTAAGCCAAAAATCAGAGGAAGTGATTTTTTTTTTTTAAATTTTTTAAATGGAATCGGTTGGTGGTTTCGCCACGACAATCTAGTTTTTTAGGGTAAGAAAAACTAACAAAGGCATTTCAGTCTTCCCTGGCCAGGACCGTCTCTGACATTTTAGGGGCCTTGTGCAAATTTAATAAAAAGGCCCTCCTTATTTAAAAAAAAAAAGAAATTGGACGATATATTCATAAAGCTCAACAATCAATAATCAAAATTAATTGAAATCCATATCTCACTTTTACTAATTGAATAATTTTCAACATAAAATCATGATTTAGGGTTCATTTGTGAAAAAAATGGAGCACAACTGAAAGAGAGATATGAAAGTATGTTTGTATTTGTAGAAGAAAATAATACACTAGTTAGTTTTTTATTGTTTAATAGGAAAGCGGAAGAAAGTAATACACAAGTTTTTATTAGTATAGAAAACTATAAAATTAACATATTAAGTATAAGCTCTATTGTCACTTAGTACTACAATTTAGTGGTATTTTTCTTCACTTGTAAGTGAGAGGTCTTAGGTTCGAGTTTTGCCAAAGGAGAATTTGAATCAAATTATTGCTAACCCATTATGAGGCTAAGCCCACCCCTTCTCCTTAGTGTAGAAAATATCGTTTGTACAAAAAAAAAAAAAAAGAGTATAACCTCTACGTGATCAATTGTAATATAGATAAAATCATACCATGATGATTTTTCGTTTTAATTTAAAACTTTTTTTTATAGAAACCATTCAGTATTACGATTTGGTGTATTCCTCTTCACTTGGAAGTGAGAGGTCTTAGGTTCGAATCTCATAGATAACGAATTCAATACCAAATTAGGTTGCCCATTGTGTGGCTTATAACCATACTCTCTCTTCCCTTAGTGTAAAATTATATCGATGTAATAAATTTTTTTTTTTTTTTATAGAAAATTCATACTCATATGAATATATAGGAGGATCAAAAATTTTGGGGCCCCCAATTGTGCCACTGCACCGTTTGCACACCCCCAACGCCCCATCTGCCCCTGACCACCATTGTGCGATTTATCAACGTCAGCAATGGAACCCAAGATGTATCGTGTGAAATACGATCTTGGAATTCGTTCCCAACCACTGAGCCACTGTGGTTAAGGAAATGGGTTTTCTGTACATTATTAGAGAAGTTGGGAAAATAGCAGTGTAAGAACCGGTATGAGATCAATTCCTCGTTTTCGTTTACCAGATCAATTACATCTGAGAATTGATAATAAGAATTACAATCACCATAATATGTTCAGAAAAATTCTTTTAATCAAAACAAAAACAGTAAGTGTTGTAACAATGAATTAAATAAATGCATCAAATTGAGTTTGTATTCTCCTTAACCAAAAGTCTAAACCCTCTAATATTTACGCACAAAATATTGTGACTTGGTTCTTCAATAATTTTTCTGATATGCACCATACCAAACCGGAACTCCGGTCACAACGCCGCCGCCAAAACTACTGTTCCCAGCCGCCGGAAACCCCATCGTCGAGTGAGACCACGTCGTTGAACTTGCACAAGCGCACATCTCCTGAACCTTCATCCTCACAGAAATATTAATAATCCCATTCCTCTCCCCCTTGTGATTCCTCAGCCTGTAACTCAAAAAATGCAAGTAACCCTGCGGCACGTACCCGCCAACAAAATCTGACGCAGGAATCGTCGCCGTCCCGATCGTCCTGACGCCGGACGAAGTCTTGCATTGGACCTCCACCGTGAAGGACATCGAGTGCGTTGGCAAGTCGAGCACGAGCTTTTCGTTCCACCGTGGGTAGGCGCCGCCTTCAGTGTCCATCTCCGTGGTGCGAAACTGGCCGTTAGTGTCGGTCCGGACGGTCACGGAGGCGTTTTTCTTGATGGGTTTTCGATCTAATTGCAGGTTCTCGGCGGAGATCACCTTGATTTCGAGCGTCCGGGAATTGGCTGCCATGTTGGATGAAGAGTGCGTGTAAGTGTTTGATGAATTGCTTGTGTTAGGGAAATTGTGAGATCCGTTGAGAGGAAAGAGGTGTGGGTAGGAGGTTATATAGGAGGGTTGAGGGAAGGGTGTGAGAAAGGAGAAAGAAACACCCACGTGGTTTCTGTGGAATCCAAATTGGTGGATGAAATACAATACGCTGAGTTTTGAATGGATACGAAAGTGGGTGGGTGAAGTGTAATTTAATTTCCTAGTTGGAATTGGTTTTCCAAATTGACTATTGGACCTTTAAATGAGTTATGAGTTTTTAAAGAGAAACTTCCATGTAATTTGTTCACGCTTCTTATCTAGAGAAACTTCTATCTAGTTCTTAAAATTTATTGTGGAGTTAAACTTTTTAAAAACATGGATATATGGGTTAGGGTGGTGGTGGTGGTGGATGTCATAGAGAGAAAGAGAGTGGAGAATAGCTTTGAGGAATTTTGTGTGTTATTCTCTAGTCATTGTACCTTTATTTATAGTAAGAAGAGCATCTCCAATTGAAGTCCCTATTTAGGGACTCCCACCACTACTTTAAGTACTCATTTGAGGACTTAAAGGAAATTTTTGTGTTCCTAAAGGAATATTGTCTCCAATGGTAAAGTCCTTATAATAGAATTCCTAAATTTAGAGTTTTTATGATTTTACGTGATAGTTTGATTAGGTGCACATTTTTTTACTTAAGATTATCCCTATACAGTCCCTATATGGGAGGACATACACTATGTATTTGGTAAGTCCTTATACTTTAGGGACTGACCATCCGATCTATTGGAGATTCATTTTTGTCTCTATATTTGTTTTATACTCATTTTATACGGTGGTTTTCCCTATTTAGGGACTTTACTGGAGATGCTCTAAAGAGGATAGAAACTTGCTCAATAAGTAATACAAAGTCTATTAGGAAAGATTTTCTAGATCACAATGGATTCCTAATCTATCTCTACTTAGGATTTACACAATCACAATATGTATTAGAATGTATATCACAACACTCCCCCTTTTGAGTGTGCAAATACTTAAGTAGATGGCGCATCAGATCTTCAGGCAAATGTAGAAGCCGTTGATAAAGTCGTCTGGTCTAGTTGACAAAAGTAGCGAATGCAAGTCTCAAAACCAATGGTTAAAACTCACAAAACCTCGCTATGGCAAAACTCAAGGTGGGACAAAAGACCACAGTCAAAGGAGAAAAGTGAGAAGTTGCATTAAGTCAAAACTATACATCTTCATGACGTAAGTAGAACGTATTCAAGGGTATGACATGCCTAGGATGGGTGCCTTGTCAAAACCTAGTAAGGTAGCAAAAACCCAATGGGAAAGTGTTCTTAAGCATTGGAAAAAAGAATACATTAAGGTCAAGTGAGCATACTTCTGGATACTCCCCTTCAGTTTGACAGAATTTCCAAATGAAACTACAAGCATTGCAAACGAGAAAGTTACGCATACCAATTTCTTGGACAATCTTTTGGAAGGTAGACTTCGGCAGTGACTCCGTCTAAAGGTCGGCAAGGTTGTCTGGGATCGAACTGCTTGACTTCAGTCTTCGAATGCTTTTGTTGATGTAGACACAATATGCTTGGTGTTAACTTGTTCGATGTATCATGATCTGGTCGATACATACGACATTGTCTTCATGAATCATTGTTGAGACTCAATGATGGATGAAAATCGCAGGAACTTCAAATATGCTTAACAAGAGTTCTCGACTATATCTCTCACGTGATGAAGTACGGTGAGTCTTGGAATGATTCGAAGATTTTGCAACTGAGGTCTATCTGGTTAACCTCTAAGATATTGTGGTGTTCCATAACGGTAAAGACATAACCATTTGGGAACGCACCTTGTGCGGATTAGACAGAGAGTATGATTCAGTGAATAACTTGAGATGTACGATCTATTGCATTGAGTTAAGTACAATAAACACCAATTACACTCAGATATGGCGCCCTACGATCTATTGCATTGAGTTTTTTAGTCAATGTGGTGTAAATGTGGCTTACATATGAACTCATTTATCATGCTCACCATGTAATCAACTTAACGAAAATTCAATTAATTCACTAGACAAAAAGGTCTAAATTGCTAAAATTTAAAAAACATAGGGAGCAATGTGAGAAAATTGAAAACTTGTGGCACATATGGAAAATCACCCCAATTTTTTTTAATTTGTCCAATTTTTTCGTGAATTGAATCTTTTCACGGAAAATACGTGTAAGATATATTTATGAAGATTTCTTTCAATGTCTAGTAATTAATATAAGATAAGGATGGATCATTTCTAACCGTGTCTAAAGGAACAAAACCAGATAAATAAAGCATATGAAAACCTAAGTTGATATATCACATTGACCTTATTTATGAGACAAGAATAGTTTAAATGTCCTAACCCACTCTAACTAATACTGGGGCCTTTGATGATAACACCCCACACCTGTAGTACTATCCAAGTGGTAATTAACAAATTGGGGACAAGATTTGTGTTGTTGGAAGTGGGTTTTTGGCTCGTCTCTTTGATAATTCCACACTTAATACTGCACATAGATTTATGCTGACTTTTTTTGTTTTTTTTTTTATTTGAAAAACAATATTCTAGATCTTTCCTCTTAACTATAAAAGAGACATAATGCTAGTTTGTTTTGTACATGATTACAAACAAGACATATCATGATCTAAAATTGCGTTAGATTTTGATTTATGTAGAGAAATGATGCAAAGTTATGAGACATTTGGTGACCAAGATGAAATGGAGTATGGTGATAGCTTTGAAGGGCTTGAGTCATATAAAGTTCTAAAGCTTCGTATCCATAATTTACCAGAGATATATACTAACTTTTATCTCTCTTCTATTCACTTTTCATTTTGATCTATTTAATTTAGATTTGCACGGTTATCGATTAACTTTCATGAGTCTTTTATTCACTTTTCATTTGTATCTATTTACTTTTGTTTTTCAAGTTTTATTTGTGGACATATTCATCAATATAAGAGTCTTATATATGATGGAATGGCCTACATGTGGTAGCAAAAATCCGTCATCTTTAGTCATGACGAATTTGTACCTACAAAATAATCAACACCTTTGATCAAAGACCAAGGCCTCATGTGCGCATGAAGGGGGAGGGGGGGGGAGAGGGGTTTGGCCAATGGATCTTCGATGCCTAAGTTAGTTTCTATAAAAAGAGTGAGTGTTTAGGACTTGTATGCATAGCAAAAAGCTTACCAAAATTCGGTAGAAATGGAGCTATTTATAGGAGGGGGCCGACCATAGTGTGAGGGAGTAGCCTTACCAATGGCGGCATCCTATTGACTAATTAGGAGATAATATCTTGGATAATGGTGGAAGTACCCCTAATTGATTGGAATAGAGAATCCTTGCTAGAGTTGATCTTTTATTTGGGATTGTATTAAAGATAGGATATGGTAATTAATCCATATCTTTAATACCTTTGACTTTTCCATGCCACGAGTAGGTGAGTTTTGAGCAGTCGTAGTCTACTGCTTAAACTGCTAGGGATACTGGGCTACGCATGCGAGCATTTGAGAGCCTTGCCCATTTAATGAGGGTAATATGGTTTTTCTCGAGATAAAGTCCACGTGTCATCTTCTGCATTTTTGAGATTATTTTTGGCTCCACAAATGCCCCTACACTTGCTAGGATGCTTGCAGAAAAGGGAAGTAGGTGTAGAAGTCTCAAACTGCTCAGGTAAGCAGATTGTTGTTTCCTAATTTGATGTAGATCTTCCACTTTGACTTAAAAATAAATTCTTCTAAGAAAGGGAAACCAATTCTATCAATACTTATTTAATTCTGCCTTAGGCAGGGGGTTAAATAAATCTGGAGAACAACTTTCCCCTTCCCCTAGCCTTCTTCTTCGCTTGCCCTTACAAAGAATTGTTTCTCATTGTTTTTCTTCTTTTCAACGCCTCACCAAGGTAAGAAAAAATTAATTTTCTTTGAATTTTCTTGGGTGGTGTGCTACTGGGCAACCATCGGGTGGTACGACACGTCAACTAGCAGGGGCTGAAAGTCGCGTGGACCGATGAGGTGGCATGGCAGGGGCTGTTGGCTCAGCTGGGGCAGCAACTTGAGGTGCAGTACAAAGCGAAGCATGAGGTTTGAGCTCCTTCTAGGGACCTGAATCTGACATAGGCCAATTAGGCATGTCAGATGATGAGAAACAGTTGAGGTGTTGCCATAAGTTGTTTCACGCTTCAAGCAAAGGTGATTATGAGTGGGTGATGGACACCTTAGAGACCAGCGAAGAGTGGGAGTCTGACCCCTTGCCTAAGCTGCGTGTTCTAATAGAGTTCATGGATGGTAATTAAACTGCTTCTTTTTTTGTCTACTTGAAATTGTTGTTCAGTTACTTTTGACTTCAAGTGACTGAATGTCTTCTTTTGCTTGTAGAGATTCGAATATAAAGGGTGTTGCCTGCTAAGTCCTATTTGTTAGAAGAAATGTGGTTTGTCTCTTAAGGAATAGATTAAGCAGATTAAGGAGGAGGCGATTGCTCATCCAATTGTTGTTGTAGAGCCTGCTGCTAATGAATGTAGAAAGAAGAGACCTTCAACACTTGCTTGAGAACCATTGGTTGAGAAAAAGCCAAAGACTTCTTCTGCTGCTCATAGGGCTCGTCTACTATTGAAAAACTTGGCATTGATTTGACTTCTCCTAAGGGGAAGAATGATAGTACTAAGTCTAAGCCTGCAATGCCTGTCATTTCTAAGGTAACCCTAACCACTGCTGAGATGATTGCCCATCATAGGAGTTTTATGGTGACTTTAGTGTCGGATTTGCATCGAAGCGTCCGTTTGGAGCTAATTCTAGCTTAGCTTCTAAAAGACTCGTTACCATAAAGAGTGGAAATGAAAGTCAGTCACTTGGAAAAGTGGATTCGGCTATTAAAGAGGCGTCAAAGCTTGCTCTTTGTATGCTGCCCCAATTATGCTTCTTGCCAAGAATGAAGGAACTATTCAAGTTTGATATCTCAGTTGTCGTAGATGGCCAAGATCAGAGCTGCTGAAGATGAAGTGTCGAATTTGCAAACTACTGAGGCGAAGCGGTTGCATAAGGCAAGATGGCTACTAGAGAACCCAAGGTCATCCAAGTTGCTAATTGAGTAGTCTTATTTGTTTAGCTTGTGTTGGATTTTGGCAACCTTCGTGCAAGTTTATCAATTTGCTAGAAATTCAATAAATTGCTTTCTTCACTTTACACTATCTTTATTTTTCTTGAAACTTTGCTTGCTTGAAATGTCTTACAAGACTTTTAGCCATAGGATCATCGGCTGGGCACGTTGCTTTGAAAAAAACCAACAATCCCTCAGAGTCACTTATGGTCGTGAGCTTTGGTTTCTTGTAACGTCGAGTTGTTTGAGTTCGTCGTGAGTTAATGCCCTCTGGCCATGTGTTGCTTAACTGGTCTTTGAATATTTGATCATTTGAGTTACATGACCTGCATCACAACATCATAAAGATGTGTAGGATATGAAAATCGTTACCTAATCACATAAAAAACGTGTAGCTATGTGGAAATTTATGGGCAGTTCGCCCTCTCTTATTGGAGAGCAGATCCAGGTGAATGTTGGGAAATTAGTTTACCCTTTCGCACTAGAAAACATACCCATATGGGTGTTGAGGAATTAGCTTATCCTCTGGCACTACAGATCAGACCTAGATAAATGTTGAGGAATTAGGTTACCTTATCGCATTGAAGAGCAGGCCTAGATGGGTGTTGGGAAATTAGTTTACTCTCTTGCACTGGAGAGCTTACTCAAATGGGTGTCGATATTACTTTATCTTCTAGCACTAAAGAGTAGACCTAGATAGGTGTTGAGGAATGAGTTTTGCACTAGAGAGCAGACCTAGATGAGTGTCGGAAAATTAGTTAATCGTCTTGCACTAGAGAGCTTACCCAGATGGTTGTCAGTAAATGGGTTACTTACTTGCACTGAAGAGCATGAAAGTCATTTTGAATGCAGGTGGGGAAAGTTGGACTACTGGACAACTGAAATAATCCTCATATTGTGAGGTCTTGTGAGGTGATCTACTTGAGACTTTGAACTACCTGTGGAACCCGCGTAAGTGTGTAAGTAGGGAGCGTAGTGAGCTACTTCGAAACCTTCTCCATGTATTGCGCCATCCTTAGATTTTTTTTGTTATGTGTTCTCTTGAGTTTGGTTGGTGATCAGCTAAGAATCTAAATGGATTTCAAGCATTTTCATCGCTAAGTCATTCACTAGCAAAGGGCTACTAGTTAAAGCCTCGTGCTCTATTTCGTCTTTGGATGCTTTGAAGCATAGAGTGTTACAGACCTAGTCGACGCGGCTAGGAACTGCAGAGCATAAGTTGGTGCAGCGGGGAGCCATGGTACAAGATAGGCATAGTTGAGGGCCGTAAAGCAGGTAGGTGCAGCTGTGAGCCTCGGAGCTGATGACAGCTTAGGCCAAGTTATGCATAGCAAGAGGAATTGGGCTACTAGGTCTATGGTGCTCGGCTGTTGGCAATGTGCTTCTCTATTGTTGAACCGTCATGGGTGATGAGGAAAAGACTTGTTCTTGATCCATGGTGGTTAGAGGAACTATCATGCAAGTTAGGCTGGTGCATCGTCCGGTATTCGTCTGCCTCCGACATGCTATCCGGTTGAGTTGCTACATTTGTGAGAACATAAGTAATCTTTGTATTTATCAGCATATGCAGGGTGGTTCTATCTGCTTGATCATGTCAATGAAAGGTGACCTACTCATGTTGGCCATATTCTTCCAAAGGCCTTCGTAGATGGTTTCTATACGCTGGAATCCGCATAGCTCCTCTGCTATAAGCCTTTGTACCTCCTCTTGGATTTTCCTTTGATGGGGCAATGGAAATTGTGGCTGCCTTCGGTGTTGACCTACTAGTCTATAATGCCCTTCCCCTTGTCTTGCTCCTTTGTGTCGGGGTTACGATGCACGTGGTTCGTTAGTGAACGAGGTGCTCACTGCACTTGGCGTGGGCTGCCAGTTGGACTTGAGCCAATTTGCTCTTATGCTTCCTTTTGTCCATCGTGCTACTAACTCCAGTGCTTGATAGGAGAATCTCCTTGTAGGCCTAGGCGCGAGTGAATGCTTCGCCTAGAATGTCCGAAATGCTCGTTGGAATGCGGACCTAACTGCGAGTGTACACTGACTCGTGGGCCAAGTTAGGAATGAACGCTTGCACACTAAGACAGGCGAAGACATTTTCCTGAATGCCAAGCCAAGAATTATACTGCATGAACATTCGATTCTTGGAAAATTGAGCGGCTACTACAACTTTGACGAATTTGTACGAGGCTCTCAACGTAATAGAAAATTCTAAGAACAAAATGCAAGAGTCTTGTTCGAGTGTTTGAATCAGGCTCTCAATGAAAGCACCAATTTGTGGTAGCAAATACCCGCAGTCTTCAGTCTAGACGAATTTATACCTACAAAACAATGATCACTTTCCTTCATTTCTCTGTTCTCTTAACTCTGCTTGGGACCAATAATTTGTTTCTTGCCAACATCCATTCGAGGCCTTATGACTTGATAATATCGACGACTAATAACAAAATTGGAAGAAACTAAGAAATAAACAAATTGATAGTTTGTTTACCAAGTCAAAGTAGTTTCGTTCGCAAATTATTTAAACTGCTCTGATACCATTGAAAATCAAAGCACGCCACGAACAAACGAAATAGAAAACTTTATTAATCGAAAACAAAAAATGGCAAAAAAAAACTACACAACCCAAAGAAACTACATATTACATATTGATTGACTTGGCAGCTTAGAAGGGTGTATCATTTTATTCTTTCTCTGAAGCAATTGCATGCAAGATTTGAATATAAAATGACTAAAATTTCCTTTAATCATCATCACACAATTACATGCAAGAGCTGATAATATAGAATTATAATGACAGATATATATCGTATCTAATAATGCTAGAAAGATTAAATTTATAGACAAAATTTTGTAAATTAAAAGATATGGAAATTGATGATCAGATTATTATTTAAATATTGATAAATGTGTTCAATTGCTATTGGTGAACACATAATTTAATTTTCAAATTTAATCTTCAAATTTAATATCCCTAACACTACTCATATAAATTTCCTTTAAACAGCATCATACAAAACTAAAGTATTGTGACAATGAATTTTTCTCTCAAAAAATAAAACAATGAATTAAATGGTTGCATAAAATTTCCTTCAAGAACACAATCCTTAATCAGAAGTCTAAATCCTCTAATATTTACGCACAAAATATTGTGACTTGGATCTTCAATAATTTTTCTGATAGGCACCGTACCAAACTGGAACTCCAATCGCAACGCCACCACCAAAACTATGGTTCCCAGCCGCCGGAAACCCCATCCTCGAGTGAGACGACGTTGTTGAACTTGCACAAGCGTACATCTCCGGAACCTTCATCCTGACAGAAATATTAATAACCCCATTCCTCTCCCCCTTGTAATCTCTCAGCCTGTAGCTCAAAAAATGCGGGTAACCCTCCGGCACATAAGCGCCAACAAAATCCGATGCCGGAACCGTCGCCGTTCCGAACGTCCTGACGCCGTACGCGGTCTTGCATTGGACCTCCACCGTGATGGACTTGGAGTGCGTAGGCAAGTCGAGCACGAGCTTCTCGTTCCACCGTGGGTAGGCACCGCCTTCGGTGTCCCTCTCCGTGGTGCGAAACTGGCTGTTGGTGTCCGTCCGGACGGTCACGGAGGCGTTTGTCTTAATGGGTTTTTGATCTAATTGCAGGTTCTCGGCGGAGATCACTGTGATTTCGAGCGTCCGGAAATTGGCTGCCATGGTGGTGGATGAAGGGTGAGCGTAAGGTGTTGTGTTAGATTAGGGGAATTGTGAGAGGCGATGAGAGGAAATAGGCGTGGGTGGGGAGGGGTTATATAGGAGTGTTGAGGGAAGGGTGTGAGAAAAGAGAAAGCAACAGCCACCTGGTTTCTGTGGAATTCAAATTGGACTAATAAATAAAAATACGCGCCGAAGTGCACTTTTGTTTTCCAAGTTGACTTTGGACCTTTAAATGGGCTTTTGAGTTATTCAGGAATCAGCAGAGAAACTTTCATGTAATTAACGGACGGTTCATGCCCCTTGTACCGACAGAGAAATTTCTAAGCAAATGGTTTGTACGACTGTTTTAAAAGTCTTCGCCTACCGTAACCTAGATTCCGCTTAGGTGATAGATGATTGGTCATTGATTCAGTTAATTAAGTGTTTGAAAATTAAAAATTGACGCCTAGATCTGCTTGGGTGTCTGCTTAGATCCGACTAGACACCCACTTAGGTCGTGACTCTCACTTATATAAAAAATAGATATACTTCATTTTGAGTTTTTTTTTTTTAAATAAATTGTAATAGACTTGTTGAATACTTGGTTAAACACTTATTATCCGATTTATAACAACTTTTCTTAAATCCGTCTAAGTGCTAGGCCCCAGTCCACCGCATAACTAGCGCTTAACGTCTTTTAGAACCTTGGTTTTTATAAGTAATTGCCTGACTAATTTTTTGGAAAATAGGGTTATATTTCTACTTTTTATTTCTCAAAAATGCAGTATACGACATATCTTTAATAAGCAATTAAATTTTATGGTACGAATACAATGTTACGGTAATATTTTTATGCACTGTCACAAACATTTACACATCTCTCCTCTCTTGACTAGTTGACTTATCATGTGGGGAATAAGAGTTGAAAACTTGCAACTAATTGTGGAGGAAATTCATTGTGGCGTGTGGCGTTGTTAGAGAATTTTCTCAAGTCATGCTTGGAATTGAATTTTCATGATTTGTCAAGAAAACCTAAACTCTTTGCACAAAATTCGTTTTATAATGTTTAAAAAGTAAATTACTTATTGCTTACTACGTATGTAAACATTGATTGGAAATTGACGGGGAATGACATTGAAGTTTCTGAGTATAATAATGCGTTGGGTAAATCCAATAAGAGTATATCTAATTAATACAAACTAAATAAGTGTAAGTGAAAGCGTTATTTAGCTTCAAAAGATAAAATTTAATTTTGAACAGGACATTTCTAGCCAAAGCTAAAATAGCATAGGACTCTTCAGGGGGCCAGTTTAGCCCTGACTCTTAAATGGTTAACTTTTAATAGAAATTGGTAGCCAATGAAAACTAGGCACTTAACACTTTGCAACACCTAGCCTCTGACACCATTAGAACAACAAAATTTTGAACGTTGCACCTCATTGATTATCTTTACAAAATATTAGCCAAATTGGAAATATTTAAGATATTTAATTGGGTTTAAAGAAATTAACGAATACTTTGCTTTATAAAAAACAATGAAATTTCATTGTGATAATTAAATAGGCAAATGGTTTTGGATTGAATAGAAGTTTTGCAAGGATGATATTTGAATCAAGATTTATAAAATAGACGGTTCGGATTGTTAAAGTTTGATGTGGAATAGATTCCACAACTAATCTTTATTTTTTTCAAAAAATGGGGATCCCTTCCCCCTATATATACACACACATTAATGCTCAAGTAAAACAGCAGGAAGAAAGAGAGTACTTATTGTAGTTGCAAAAGATATCAATTTGAGAGAAAACATGATGTTGAATATGAGTAAAAACTCATCAAGTGACCAATCTCAAAATTACATTTGTGAGAAACTTGACGTAAAGTTAAAATGACGAGAAGAGAATCACCCGCAAACCAAAGCTTTTTCATCATAAAATTCCAAAACTCGGTTTCTTCAAATACCTCTTGTAGTTGTAAATTGAATGTTCACGATTTATCTCTTTTGCATATGAGAAAGACTTACATAGAATGAATTCACAATCACTGTAACGTTCAGTTTCATTGGCATAATGACATGTACGTAAATTTCTCAACATAGAACAATATATTATTGGATCAAATGCTACATAACTGTAAATCTGTTCATGTAAAGTTGTTATCCTTGTATAGTTCATCCATGTGTCATGCCTTAGAAAAGATTTGACTCACCCAACCACTTTTTAAAGCACACAGTTCCTTTTCACCCGTATTGCCCATGCTAATCCTATGCGCCTCTATTTTTTTTTGTTTATCACATTAACATCTTACTTTGAAATTTCTCCACTGAATGTGACTACAAGTGTTACCCGTAGTATAAGTACGTTGGCTTAGTGCTTTAAATCAAACACTGTGTGCGTGGTCATGGTCATGGGCGCCGGAGTCACTATATACATGAATTCTCGATCCAAACTCTTTTCTGTTCCAGACCAAACCACATTTTCCTCTTTATCATTCTTATTGAGGTGCAATCTTCACTTCTCCTCATTCCATCAACTTTTCCTTAGCCTTATCATCATTGTGTGGCATAAGGAGGATTACGCACTAACTGGGGATATTTTTATGGTATGAGAGAGACTTTTTTATTTTTTAGTTTTTATTATTTGGTTATTGTTTCAACCGTAAACGTGATTACGCCATGAAAGCTGACGACACACAATTGACAAAGGTGGGAATTTGTAAGTTACATGCAAAGCTCATGGAAGGTAAGATTTTATATAATGGCATACTCAAAGAGTTGCCCACCTAATGTATATTCTACAATGATCGTTTAACAAACACAGCCACAACCACAATATGTATGGAAGACCCTAAATATAGGTAATTCGAACTAAAAATATGAGAGATTGGAGTAATTTACATAAAATTGAAAGACCCTAAATCCAATAGAGAGAACTAAAAACATTGTACAAATCCAAAAACTTGAATATGAGGTAAAAACTAAGCAAGAATTTTTTTAAAATATAAATTTGGTTAAGTACACTATTCTAACAAATTTGACTAAACTTAAGTTTACTTTGTACTCGTTCTATTTTCAATATAATTGCTTGTACTTTTAATAAAAAAAAAAAATTATGGTTTGTAAAGTTTCTTCGAATTTAAACTTTTAGGTTAAAATGTTCGTAAAATATAACTCAACAAGTAATACACAAAAATTAAGTTCACCTCACGTTTTAAACAATGAACAAAATTGTCGTACTGAATTTTGATATTGCATGGTTACTTGGATGAATTTTTTTTGTGTGACCTTGTGTACATATGAATTCGTGTATTAGGGAGTACAACATTTGGGTTCAAAACTTTTGGTTGAGATAATTACTGCTACCAGTCTCATTCTCAGGTCTCTCCACCTAAGAGCATCTCAATGAAGCGCTCTTTATATTATCCAAAAGAAAGAAAAAATGAAGGGCTGCATATGAGGCTGGAAAAGTAGTGGATATAACTCATTTTAGAGCCCTGACAAATTTTTAGGGCTCTAAAAATGAAACTCTCCCAATGAGGAGCTATATATATATACACACACACACACACACACACACACACATATTGAGCTCTATATAGAGCTATAATTTATTTATGTAGTAATTTGATTGCGATTTGTTAACTTTTATTAAATTGAGTTTTAGACGTGTTATCTTAAAAAAATTTATAAACTTTTCAACCTCAAAAATTCAAAATTATGATAATATTAGCTTTCATCACTTATGGTAAGTTAGAATTCATCACTTATTGGCGAACTTGTTACACTCGCTATGGATGACCCCCTATTTTTGGGGCCCTTCGGGTTTCTTGAGCTATCATCACTTTTGTAGAATTGTAATTATTGATGCTGAATACGAGTCCACATCGTGGTGCCAACTTGATTTTTTCCATGCTCGGCCTAGCGCTACATCTTCCAAAAATTTATATATTATATAAAGTTGGTGTAAACTAATTTGTTGTAATGCTAAATAAGAAAACATAATAGATGGTTACTATGCTTAATTAATGCGTGAGGATTATTTTTCATGAAGAATTGGGCATTAAAAAAGAAGATTTAGGGTAAACTAGACGTTTTCATTAGCCACTCAGTACTATGGTATGGTGATATTTCTCTTCACTTGGAAGTGAGAGGCCTTAGGTTCGAATCTCATGGATCGCGAATTTGATACCTAATTAGGCTACCCATTGTGTGGCTTACCTGAACTCCCCCTTTCCTTAGTGTAAAAATATCGGTGCACTAAAAAAACTAGACATTCCCATTCTGGTCCCTTAGTTTTAGTGAAATTAGAGCTTTGGTTCATTAATAAAAAATTTAATACCAATGATCTTTGAACTTGTTAGAAGGCAATGCAATGCAACGCAATGGTTCATTGGGTAATTCTGTTAAAACTTTCAACCCTATTTCTGTTTAAACTCTAAATTTTGAACGTAATTTTAATGGTATTACATGAAAGAACATTTACACATGAATTTTTAAGGGAACTGTTATTAGCACTCCAAAAATCTCATTCTATACTCCTCATAAGTGTATTTTTCTTTCTAATTATAGGAAGTTTGGAGAGCGCAATGAGATTTTTGAAGTGTTAATAACAATTCTCATTACTAGATCAGAATCAACAATTTTATTGGGTCCACAAATTTATACAAAGTAACTAGTAAATAAACGATCAGTGGTAGAATATCGCTAGAAAGTGGTAGATTGCTTTCATGGTTAGGTTTTTCAATAACGTGTTTCCCCCACGTTAATCAAGTCAAGGGTGGTCGAGTAACTGTTGCTGCTGTCAGCAGTTTCAAATATCACAATGAATTTGACCCACAGTTTTCCTATCTTCTTCTGCGTAAATTGGTTTAGTATAATTCCTCGTTTTCGTTTACCAGATCAATTGCATCTAAGAATTGATCATAATATAGAATTACAATCACTATAGTATTATTCAGAAAATTTCTTTTATTCAAAACAAAAACAATCAAGTATTGTAACAATGAATTAAATGGTTGCATCAAATCTCCTGCAAGAACACAAAACACGTTGTGTCTGTATTCTCCTTAACCAAAGGTCTAAATCCTCTAATATTTACGCACAAAGTATTGCGCCTTGGATCTTCAATAATTTTTCTGATAGGCACCGTACCAAACCGGAACTCCTGTCACAACGCCACCGCCGAAACTTTTGTTCCCAGCCGCTGGAAACCCCATCGTTGAGTGAGACCACGTCGTTGAACTTGCACAAGCGTACATCTCCGGAACCTTCATTCTCACAGAAATATTAATAATCCCATTCCTTACCCCCTTGTGATTCCTCAGCCTGTAACTCAAAAAATGCAGGTAACCCTCCGGTACGTACTCGCCAACAAAATCCGAAGTCGGAACCGTCGCCGTCCCGATCGTCCTGACGCCGGAAGAAGTCTTGCAATGGACCTCCACTATGATGGACTTGGAGTGCGTTGGCAAGTCGAGCACGAGCTTCTCGTTCCACCGTGGGTAGGCGCCGCCTTCGGTGTCAATGTCCGTGGTGCAGAACTGGCTGTTGGCGTCGGCCCGGACGGTCACGGAAGCGTTTTTCTTGATGGATTTTCGATCTAATTTCAGGTTCTCGGCGGAGATCACCTTGATTTCAAGCGTCCGGGAATTGGCTGCCATGGTGGATGAAGAGTGCGCGTAAGTGTTTGATGAACAGCTTGTGTTAGGTTAGGAGAATTGTGAGAGCCGTTGATAGGAAAGAGGTGTGGGTAGGAGCATATATAGAAGTGTTGAGGGAAGGGTGTGAGAAAGGAGTGAGAAACACCCACGTGGCTTCTGTGGAATCCAAATTGGACGTTGAAATATACAATACGCGCCGAATTTTGAATGGATAGGAAAGTGAGTGGGAGAAGTATAATTTAATTTCCTAGTTGGGAGTGGTTTTCCAAGTTGACTCTTGGGCCTTTAAATGACTTATGACTTTTTAAAGAGAAACTTTCATGTAATTTGTTCACGCTTCTTATAACGTAGAGAAACTTTCAAGCAACTGGTTCTTACAATTTATTGCGAAGTTGAACCTCTTGAAAACATAGATATATCTCTACTTTGTTGTGGCCTATATTTAACTGAGGGAGAATAAAGGGGCATGACATAGAGACAAAAAGAGTGGGGAATAAGCTTGAGAAATTTTATGTTATTCCCCAGTCATTGTGCCTTTATTTATAGTAATAAGGAGGAGAGAAACTTGATTTCCAAGTAATACAAAGTCTATTAGCAAAGATCTTCTAGATCCCAAAGAATTCCTAAACTATCTCTACTTAGGATTTACATAATCACAATATGTATTAGAATGTATATCACAATGCTCCCCCTTGAGTGTGCAAATACACAAGTAGATGACACATCACATTTTCAGGCAAATGTAGAACAGTTGATGAAGTCATCTCATCTAGTCGGCACAAGTAGCGAATGCGAGCCTCAAAACAAACAGAAGTGGTAAAACTCACAAAACCTCGCTATAACAAAACCCAAGGTGGGATAAAAACCCATAGTCAAAGGAGAAAAGTGAGAAGTTGCATTAAGTCAAAACTATAAGTCTTCAGGATGCAAGTAGAATGTAAATAAGGGTATAACCAACCCAGGATGAGTGCCTCATCAAAACCTAGTTTGGTAGCAAAAATCCAATGGGAAAAGTGATCCTAAGCTTAGGAAAAAATGATTACATTAAGGTCAAGTGAGTATACTTCTGTATACTCCCCCTCAGTTCAATAGAATTTCCAAATGAAACTACATGCATTGCAAATGCAAAAGTTACGCATACCAATTCCTCATACTAGCTTCTGGAAGGTAGACTTCAGCAGTGAATCCATGCAGAGGTCGGCAAGGTTGTCTGGGATCGAACTGGTTGATTTTAATCTTCTAATGCTCATGCTGATGTAAGTACAATATGCTTGGCGTTGACATGTTAGATGTGTCATGATTTGATCGATACATATGGCATTGTCTTCATGGATCGTTGTTGGGACTCAACGATAGATGAAAATTACAGGGACTTCGAATATGCTTAACAAGAGTTCTCAACTATTACTCTCACGTGATGATATACAATGAGTCTTGGAACGATTCCAAGATTTCACAACTTAGGCCTATCTAGTTGACCTCCAAAATCTTGCGATGTTCCTTAACGGTAAAGGCATAACCATTTGGGAACGTACCTTGTGCGGATCAGATAAAGATTCTGATTTATTGACTCCCACAAGGTAGGCATCATTCCGAAGATCAAGTGGGTGTGATCTATTTTGAGATGCGTAAGGATAGAGTAAGCCCAAATCCGCAGTAACAGAAAAATGTTGTTAACACCTAATTTGGTGGTGGCGTGTAGGCGCCGTGGTGCTTTTTGCCAAAAGATTATTAGCACTTAAGATGTCCAATCTAGTGCATAGAGCTAAGTACAATACACACCAATTGCACTCAGATATGGTGTTACATGTTTCGATATGAAACCTTATGCACCATAACCTCCGTAAAGGTCTCATTTGCATCTAGTGTATAGATGATCAAGATTATACTCTGAAGCAATACCTTCTGGGTCTAGTTCGACTAATGGGCCAAAAAACTATTAGAACCATGCTCGAAACTTCAGGTCGAGGTAGCATCAAGTTTTCCCAAGATTATTCATCTCAAAGTTCGACTTTAGTTGCGAGTTAGTTTTCTTAAGCTCTTCTGGAGTCTTAGTGACATTCATGTCATTGACATAAACTGCAATTCTAGCAATTTTGCATTTTGTACATGCAGGGGCATTATCCCTAACTGATCAAATATTCACTTAGACGAGTATACCACATCTGCCCGGATTGTTATGCATCCGTAAAGTGAAAGACTCAAAACCGAGAGGGTGTTCTATGGTCTAGAACTTATTTGAATCAGTACATGTAAGTCTTTCTAAAACTTCCATGTATATTTTGTATCATGATTCCAGAGATACGTTACAACCACGTTTATATGCTACAATCAATCACATGGCGTATGAAAGAAGTCTTGCGCCATAAGGCGGTGTTATACCGCACTATTTCATTCATCTCCTTCGACATGGATTGTTTATTTCTAATTGACCAATCATTTCTACATTGTTAGTAATCAACGGAATGTGGTTCGATATCGTTACTTTTCATTTATGTTAGTATGTACCATATAATTGAAACGCCATTGATGATAATCTCATGCCAATTCTGTATCTCATCTAAACTAGTATGCTAGACCAAGAACTTTAAGTCTCAGGAGTAATCCAGATTTAGTCTCATGAGATGGAAATGATTAAGACAACGATCTAGGGAGGGATTCATTTGTGCCATGTTCCTCCACTTCTGATGAGGTGAATCTTTCAAATCGAGTGATCTATCGCGATTTAGGCCAGCTGCAGATGTACTAGGTCGACCACTAGGCGAAGCGGCCTACCTAGATACATAAATCATTGCAAACATGTTTGCAACTAGTATATGCAATCTTGTCACATTTACTAGATCAAAGAAAGTGTCTGGTGCCACTCTGATGATCTAGATTAGGGATCGAGATGAGACATGGTGGGACGTCCACAAAAATTCACTTCGTTCTTCAAGAATTTGTGACGTTCTCATTGAAGTGACATAATCACTTGCAAGGGTGTACGAGAATCAAAATCGACATTGATTCACATCCCTTTGTGAGGACCTATAGTCGTACATTGCGGCGGTGCAATTGGCACATAAAGTGTTCATCCAAAACACGTAAGTACAAAACTTTAGGTTTGTACCCAATTACCAACTGTAATGCTCAAATAGCATTGGGTGACATGAGCCTCAGGTGGATTAACATAGCTAAAGTAGTGCATGGACCCAGGTAAGGGTTGAGAGTTTGTTATGTATGACCAATCACTGAGCGATCAATTGAAGTGTTTAATCAACGATTATGCCAGGCCATTTTGGGGTGAACATGAAACTTTAATGTTCAATTACAAACCTAAATTGATACTAGGGAAACCAAAATCGATATATTATATAAAGTTAGTGTAAACTAACTTGTTGTAATGCTAAATAAGAAAATAGAATAGATAATTACTATGCTTAGTTAATGCGTGGGGGATTATTTGTCATGAAGGATTAGGACTTCAAAAAGAAGATTTAGGGTAAACTAGAATTTTTTTTTTTAAAAACAAATTTGGATTGGTCCCTAAGTTTTAGTGGAATTAGAGTTTTGGTTCATTAATTAAAATTTTAGGCTAAATTGGATTAATGGTCCCCGTGGTGATAGGTTAAAAGGAAGATAACCCCCGTGGTGAAAAAATTCGGATTTAAACCCTAGTGGTGAAGTTCCGTTAGGATTTAAGCCTAAAATTAACATTTTCGTTAACCCATTCCATCTTTTTTCTAGATTACCCTATTAACATTTCCTAATAGTTAATTTAGCCTGCAATTAACTATTAATCCAATTCAGTAAATTAATCATTAATTTGTTGGCTGGTTTTGTTAGATTAACATTTCTTGATTGATTTTGTTTGCTATAGAAATGATGAAATCTGATCCTACCAACAAAACCAATTGATGGGTCGGACTAATTCGTTGAGAATCACACACCAATCAAGCAAAACAAAACCCAAGAAACATGAAAAGAGGAGCAACAAGCAGACCTCATCATCATCCACTGAAGAATTATCTTTGTTTGAGGTTTGATTGTTTTATCTCAAAAGAAAAAAAAATAACGAAGGGAAGCTGAAGAGAGAGAGGAGAGAAAGGAACATGATTTCTGAGGCATGCATGGAGAGAACAAACAATGTTCCGTCAATTTAAGTCACGTTATTTGCATGTGATACACATTAAAGGGTAGATTGATAATTTCTCATAAAGAAATAGTGTATGGAGTTTGTCACATCCTGGCCCCGGCCCCCACCACATCCCAGGCTCGACTCCACCGTAGCACGATATTGTCCGCTTTGGACCTCGACCACGCCCTCACGGTTTTGTTTCTGGGAACTCACATAAGAACTTCCCAGTGGGTCACCCATCCTGGGATTATTTTTGCACGAACTCGCTTAACTTCGGAGTTCCTACGGAACCCGAAGCCAGTGAACTCCAAAAAAGCCTTGTGCTAGGTAGAGATAGGAATATACATATAAGGCTTATAGGATCCACTCCCCTAGGGCGATGTGGGATGTTACAATCCACCCCCTTAGGGCCCAACGTCCTCTTCGGTACACTTTCGGCCAGGGATTGGCTCTGATACCAAATTGTGCTGGAAAGACATTTTAGTCAACTTTGGGTACATGCCTATTCTACTACAGTTTGTATTATTTTGAAGATAAGTAGATTATTCAGAAGAATTGATTGGATATTGAAATCTGGTTATGATCATTAATTCTTCAATCACCTGTCAAATACTTCGTCGAATGGATCATTACTGTTGGTGATTGAATATTCCGGAAGTTGTTTTTGTAGTGCAATGGCTGGCAATCAATCAATATATCTTCAACTTTAAATTTAATGGACTTGTTTTGGTCCTCAAATTCTTGATTGTTCTTTTAGCAAGTTATTTTAAATTTCGAGGACGAAATTATCTTAAGGGGGGTAGATTGTAACGATCCGTCACTAAAAATTATGATTTTTATAATTTTTACATGTGAATTTACAAAAATGCCCTTCGAGGCAAAGTGTTGACTCTTGTTGACTGATGTGTTGTGTCATGTAAGACTCATTTTCTTGGCATATTCTCGTAGTACTTGTTGCTATGAA